CCTCAACAAAGTAAAGACCAAGGAAGACTCAAGACTAACAAAGTGCTGCACAGCTAGCTATGCAAGCTCTCTGTCACTGTCCACTGTGTCCCACTTATACTCTCTCCAAATACCATGTGTCCTCCTACAGGTCTTGCCTCAGCAAACCCCAGGAGTCTGCATCACATGACACAACCAGAAACTTCCACTTCACCCTGGGCTTTCTCTGAAACCAAATCCCCATTCCTGAGACAGGCTTGGTGAATGTCTGCTAAAATTCTAGAACATTCTAGGTTAAAAAAAAAACAAAACAACACAACAAAAACCACAGTGATGTGTTTGTTAGGAACACTCAGGTCTGTGAGTCTGTTCTTCCCACACCCCAAGGATGTTGCTTTGACCGAGGCTCAGTACACTGTAGGTGTTCAGTGATGGGAGCTAACATACCTGTAAGGACGCTGGGAAGTTGGAAAGTGTAACAACATCATGGCTTATTGCAAAAAAGTATAAAGTGAGGCCTGATGAGGCTACAGACCTGGCTAACCAGATGTCATGGGTAGAGGACCATGGGGCAGGTTTGAACCCCGGACTTGTGAAGCTTGTTGCTCAATAAGAATAGTTCCTACGGCCAGACGGCCACGCATGCGCTGTCTGACCCTCTCGCTCCCATTCGCTCCTTAGGTGACACAAGGATAAGCAGCAGAGCCCACCCCTAAGCGGGGGTGGAACTGAATGTGACATGAGGAACCAAACAAGGACTGGAAGCTAACTGGGATGTTCTGACATTCTGAACTCGGAGGTGGGGAGAACGGAATGATTGACGGCTTCCTCATAGAGCTGCCAGCAGAGATGACGAAAGCCACTCAAGCTGAACGGAGACAGCTTAAAACAGGACAGCCCACGAACGATGTGCTCAGATGAGAACCCAGGAGATGTTCTGAGTCCCTCTAACACAGTGACCTGAGGGTCAGTTTAAGCAATGGCCACCACTCTGCCTTGGAGCATTTAGGGGTGACCTCTCTTCCTGCTTTCCTTTCCAACCCCAGCAGGGAGTGTGGGTGGTAGGATGGTTCATCCGTGGCTAGTGAAGCAGCCTTTGGCTCAAGCACCAATCTTGACAGAATAGTCGGCTGGCTTCATAAAAGCCGTTGGTCCCTGGTGTCTGTGTAGGCGGCACCGTGAGCGCTCATCTCCGATCCTTGCATCCTTCCTGACTGACTGCTTCTTCACCGCCACTGTTGGTCTCATCTTAGAGGTGAGGGGATAAGATTCAGAGAGGGTATAAGACCTTTCCAAGGCCATCCAGCAGACAAGCCACAACACTAGACTACTGGTTGACATCCTTGCCTGAAAGACTGCAAGCTGGTACTCTGCTAGACCTCTCACTTTCCAGCTGAATCAGGACCTACGGCAAAGCATCAGATGGGCCTGCAGGGGGCAGTGGACCCAGATAGCATTTAAGAGTTGTCTCTCTTTAGGCTTAGCTACCATCCTGGAAAATGTTTAAGAACATTGGGTGTTTCCCAATTATCTTCTGAAAAAAGCACCAAAAAAAAAACCCAAACAAACAAACAAACCACAAAAAATGACTTATGGTTAGGCTTCCTGGATTCTGGGTTTTATCTAACCCTCTCAAACCTGCCTTCCCTGAGACAAGCAAGCCCTCCTGGAAGATAGGGCCACCTCTGACACCTTCATCTCCAGTTTAAGTCTTAGCACATAGTAGGTGAACCCAGTAACACACGACTGTGGTACGGAGAGGGCTAAGGGCTTTTCCACAGTAGGGTGAACCTCCTAGTAGGCCCTACTTTCTCACCCAAAAAGGGCCAGACCGAAGCCCTGACGGACACGGGAAGGAATATGGTGGCAGCTGTTGGCTGCTTAGGGGATCTTGGATCCTGGTACTGGTTCTGGCTGTAACCGTCATTGGTGAGGAAGATGTCACTTCAAAGGGATTGTGCTTGAAAGTGAAGTGTTCTCTACCCAGCTCATATGTGAAAACTTGGTCCCGAGCTGGTGGCATTACTGGGGACGATTAGCATCTCGGGCCACTAATTCTATCAATGGTTGAGCTCCATTGGAACTAATGAGTTCCAGGCTGAGTGGGCTACTCAGAGGAAGAGCCTAGATGGAGGAAGTGGGGCGCGCCTCTGGACTTGTCCTTGGTTCTATCTCTGTCTGTGTCTCTGTCTCCTCTCTCTCTGTCTCCTTTCTCTGTCTGTCTCTGTCTTTCTCTCTCTCCCTCTCTCTCTCTTCTCCTCTCTTTTTTACTGCAACGAGGCAAGCCGACCCTAGGTTCAATCCTCAGTGCTGCACCCCACCGTACCCCTAAAAAGGGAACAACAGTCAGTAAACCATGGAAACTGAGCAACACACAATAACTCGGTCTTCTCTCAGGTTACTGTGCTCAGGTTATTTTATCCCAGAAATGAAACAGTAACACAGGAGAACTTTAGGTGTCTCTCTGAAGAGTTTTTCTGTCCAGGGTAGGGGTTCTGAAAGAAGGAGAAGAATTTGAGGCAAGCCTTCCTCTTTATTCAGACTCAAGGTGCTGGCCCAGCCTCTATCCGACACCTCCAGGATTGGAGCCAAACAAGGACAATGCCCAAACCTGCACTGGCTTCAGATTGGCCTGCTTGGACCAGCTGTGTGGACTGTGGTCTCCTCACCTGTGGCGTGGCCTTAAGAAAGCTATGGTGGGATTACCATAGGAGGGTGGGACAGCCTCCTATGAGCTTTGAGGCTGCCTCTGCTCTCTTAGTCTCTTCCAGCACTGTCCCACAGTCCCTGAGACTCATTTTATTCACTGTCATAAAGGCATGGAGACATAGGATACGTATCCTAGAGTCCCAGAATGATGGAGGCCCATGTGTGGGTACCACTTGAACCAGGAAAAGCTCTCAGTGAGCAGTACCTGCTGCTCTGGTGGCTTCTGTCATCACCCTTGTTATGATGGAATACCAAGACTGTGGTCTTGAGAACACGGTGATCAATGAATTTGTCTCTGATGGATGCTTTTGGTGTCTGTGGTCAGGTACTTATAACAGGGCCCTGGCTCAAGGACATCACAGAAAATAAGTGCAGCCCAAAAGAGGAAGGCCTGATCTCTATCCTTGCAAGGGGTTTGCCCCTGTCACCTCCCCAGTGATAGGTCAGCTTGACACAGTTGAGAATCACCAATGAAGAGAGCTAATGAAGAACTGTCTAAATTGGGTTGGCCTGTGGGCATGTCTGTAGGCGATTGTCTTGATTGCATTAACTGATGTGGGAAGACCCTGCCCACTGTGGGAGGCACCATTCCCCAGGCTTGGGTCCAGGACTGTGTAAGAGTGGAGAAAGTGAGCTGAGTACAAGTGCACATTTGTTCTCTCTCTGCTCTTGATTGTGGGCATGGCTAGCTGCCTCAAGTCCTATAACCTAGACTTCCCTATAACAAAGGGCTATGGAATTATGAGCCAAATAAACCATTTTCTTCCTACATTAGCTTCTGGCAGGATGTTAATATTACATCAACAGAAAGTGAAACTAGGCCATCCCTAAGTCGGGTCTTTTTGTACCTGCTGTGTGTCCTAAAAGGAACAACTGTCCTCAGGAGCTCACTGAACAGTGAGGCAAGAACAGCAGTGACCATGTTTCTCCCAACAGGCTCCCCCCATTTTCCCTTCCCACCCATTCTCCCATCCCAGTAATCACCTCCAATGCCAATGCTAGAGTGACCATCCCTAAACCCCACCTCAGGCCCATTCCTCCTTTGCTGAGAGCCTTGATGTATCTCCAGTTTTGCTGCACACCCCACACTCCCAGCAGCTAGGGGTGTCACAGCATCATAGGGGAGGGGCTATTCTAAAACTCCCCTTCCCCCATCTTGCAGAGCAGACTTGTGCCAGCCACCAGGTGTCTCACCTCCAAACTGCAGTTCAAGCATATATGGAAGTCAAGTGGCACCAGAGGAGCCAGTACCAGAACTTCATCTTCTGGACATTTGCTCCTTAAGCAGACTCTGTATCATTCAGACTAGACCAAGACTAACGTCCAGAGCACTCTGGCTTCTGTCTCTCCAAACTTTCTTCTTTTCTTGATCTATCCCCCTCCCCCACCCCGTCCTTGCAGACCAGTGACCATTGTGACCTGTCCCACAAGCCCTATACTCCAGGGTTGTCTTTACATCCCCCTCATTCCCCTAAGCCTTGCTGTCCAGGCTGACTCTAGCACTGGGAAAGGAGTTGATATGTCTGCTTCTGCTTGCCCTTGGGATGTGGGCAGCTGAGAGGTGCAGGGGGCTGGGTGGAGGAGGCCTGGGCTTCCTGTGGGAGCCCTGGCCTGATCCGTGACAACCCTGGGAAAAGCACAGGAAACAGACTAAACTCTAGTATGGAATCCACCACACAGTCCCTATACTCCTGTGACCACATCTGTGCTCTGTTTTTGTGATACCAATCCAGCAGGGCTGCAGGAAGCTTAAAGCAGTAATATGCATGTTCACACAGCTTCTGGCACACAGAAACGTTCAGCCAGCCCTAAACCCAACTACATCTCCTCAAAGAATTTAGGAAGAGGTCAAGGTGACCAGCCCTCATCCCTGTTGTCTTTACCACACACAGGACAAAAAGAAATACTGCTGCGGTGGCTCAGTGGTTTAGCATACCAGAGGCCCTGGTTTCCAACCCCAGCAAACACACACACACATATAAACGCGCACGTGCGCGCACATGCATACATATGAACACACACACATCCTCACACACAGGCGCGAGTGCCTATTTTTAAAAGTAGGTTCAGGTAAATATAGGAATTTCTGGAGGAAGAAAGTTCTTCTCAGGTCAGGTATTCCTCAGCTGGGCCCCGGTACAAAGCAGAACAAATGGTGGGGTGGAGGGGAATAGCCAGTTGAGGGAATCACTGTTTTCCCAGGGTTCTATCCTTCTGCAAACCAAGCAGTCTGGCCACACAGAGAGACCAAATGATAGATCGCCAAGAAAGATAATGTGGGGCGGGACGTGCTGTCCGAGCAACAACAGGACAAGCGCAGAGCGTCCCAACCCTGGTTCCAGACTACAACTCCCGGCATGCCCCGCACCTGGTACTCGCCCGCGGCGTGCGGAGGGAAGGATGCAGACACCGCAGCCGGCGATGAGGATGGAGGCCGGGGAGGCAGCGCCACCGGTGGGGGCGGGCGGCCGCCCTGGGGGCGGCTGGGGCAAGTGGGTGCGGCTGAACGTGGGGGGCACGGTGTTCCTGACCACCCGCCAGACGCTCTGCCGGGAGCAGAAGTCCTTCCTCAGCCGCCTATGCCAGGGCGAAGAGCTTCAATCGGACAGGGTGAGCCCCGAGCCCGCTGACAGGGGATGTCCTGGCCCCGCGCTTCCGGGCTGTCCTGCCTGCGCGTTCTTTGGCCTCTGGCTTTCTTAGGATTCTGAGGCGGGGAGCCGAGGCAGAAGGAGGGGGAGGAAGCGGAGCGGAGAGGAATAGCTATGCCCATTGCCGTGGCAACGGGACAGCACAGGCCGCAGCCATTTGGAGCTTTGGAGCGCTGCCCTGGATCCGGGACGCTTCCTTACTATGGAGCACTGGGGAGGGACCGACAAACCGGGCCTGTCTTACTGCCCTGGCTGACTCTGAAAGGAGTTGATGCGGCTGCTTCTCCCCGCCCTTGGGGTGTGGGCAGCCGAAGGGTGCAAGGAACTGGGTGGAGAAGGCCTGGGTGTCTTGGAGCTGGGCTTAATGTGCGGAAGAGCACTCACTGGCTTTGGAGATACCACTTGTGGGCTCACCCTGCTCTCCTGCCACCTCCCCCAGTGACCTGGGAGGAATCCGGAGGAGAGGAGAACTTCCCTGCTCTCTGACTTTGGCCTCCTTATGTGCAAGGCCTCTGGAGTTGGCTTGTCAGAGTCCCCTGTCCTCCATTCTTTGGCCCTCTTAAACTGTGTCCTTGGGTGAGTCCCCTGCTTCTTGATGTCTCAGTCTTCTATGCTGGGTTGTCCAGATGCCAGTCCTGCCTCCCTGCAGGCTGCAAGTGTCCAATCAGAGTGCAGCTGTTTTGGAAACTTGCAAACATCTAGTGGATAGTGAGATTGGCAAAGGGGACAGACTCCAAGAGGGAAACTTTCCTAAGAGAGAAGTTCACTGGGTCCTGTGCTGAGTGAGGCAGGAGCCACTTAGAAATCCGGTCACCCTCTATGCTCATATCTAACCCTCTGATTATGAGGACGAAGAGCGTTGCTCCAGAGGCCAGATGATTGGCTCAAGGTCACGCAGCCTGGAAAAGGCAGAGGCAGGGTTGGAACCCAGGTCCTTACTACTCCGTCTCTCCCTGTGGTCATTTTCCAGCCTGGGGTAACTTGAGCTTATGTGAGGGGCCTGGGGTGGGGAGGAGGAGGCTGGCTTGGGGAAACTCGCACACCCCTCACTCCCTATGGTCATCTTCTCCACAGGATGAGACTGGGGCCTACCTCATTGACCGTGACCCCACCTATTTCGGGCCCATATTGAACTTCCTAAGGCATGGCAAACTGGTGCTGGACAAGGACATGGCTGAGGAGGGTGAGTTGGTCCATTGCACTGGTCTGGGTCTCTCTACAGCCTACCAGAGCCTTCACAGGAAGCCTAAAACTCTTCTTATAGTCAGGACAGCATCTACACTTCCCCATTATTTTCTGCCTGTCCTAGTGTAGAGTCCCATTCTCCAGGTCTCTGCCATGCTGACAGACCCCAGTGGTCTGTCACATACATACAGAAACAGGAAGTGGTAAAAAAAAAGGAGCCAGCAAGGTCCCGAAACATCTGTTGCCTTTGGGAATTTATGACCTTTCTCCCTGGCCTTCTGGCAAGCCAGGTGGAGCCTGTGCTGCACCAGGCTGAATCGGGGAAGAGTTGGGTCTTCTTTCTCTGTCTTACTCTGTATCTCTCATGCAGGGGCTTGCCATCAGCCAGTAGGCGAAGTTAGTGGTTCTCCCTCAAAGCTGGCAGCCTCGATGGCCCAGTGGCTTACTGGGGATGTGGGGTGCTGGCTGCTCCTGGTAGAAGCGTGGCCTTTCCCAGACCTCTGAAGACTCATATCCGGGCCCAGCTGATGTGGGAGCAAGGTGGAGAATGGGTCAGAGCAGCTACTACAGAGTACAGTCATCCCCAAACCAGCTCTCCTCAGTATACTTGACTGAGCTCTGGATTGGGTCAGGCTGGCTCAGACATGTCAGTTTTCTTTGAGTTTCTCTTGGTATCTACAAAAAAACAAAACCAAGCATCATGTCCCACATTCAGAAGAGTGTGTGTTGGGACAGATGGGGCCTGTGGGTGGGGCCTGTGTACCTGTGGGTGGGGCCTGTGTACCTGTGGATGGGGCCTGTGTACCTGTGGGTTTTTTACAACAGCCCTTGCTCTAGGCTATGGTCTTCCCTCGCTGACCCCAATGGAGCACAGTGATTCGAAGGCTCATCAGGCTCAGAGCTTACTGTAGGCAGCTAGCTCTACATAGCTTACTGATAGCTGCCTAGTAGTCCAAGGGGAACAGATCACGTGGGCGGGGCCTGGGCTCAGGAGCAGGTCCCTCTGGGAGGCTCATACTCCAGCTGCATCACAGACAATACCTGTTTACAGGTTCTAGCTCCTCAATGCTCTGGTGCTCTCCTACCCTCAGATGCGGCAGGGAGTACCTGGAGAGATGGAGGTCAGGAGGAGGTAGTGTGGCAGTGTGTCTTAGTTAGGGTTTACTGCTGTGGACAGACATCATGACCAAGCCAACTTGTATAAGGACAACATTTAATTGGAGCTGGCTTACAGGTTCAGAGTTCAGTCCAGTATCATTACAGTGGGAGCAGGGCAGCATCTAATCAGGCATGGTGCAGGAGGAACTGAGAGTTCTACATCTTCATCTGAAGGCTGCTAGCAGAATACTGACTTCCAGGCAGCTAGCACAAGGGTCTTAAAGCCCATACCCACAGTGACACACCGACTCCAACAAGGCCACACCTCCTAGCAGTGCCACTCCCTGGGCCAAGCATATGCAAACCATCACACAGTGGAAATGTTGGTTGACCTCTCTAGGTCTGTGAAGTGTAGGAACAGTTGTGGCCAACTCTGTAAGCAGTGGGGAGGGAGAAGGAAGTTTCTCACAGCTCGGAGCTACCTAGCCTGGGGTACATAGCTTGCTGTTCCTCTCTGCCAGAGATTTGTGTCACTTGGGCAGTAGTCTTTGCTGACTGTCCCTTGAGGTAGGTACTAGTTGAGCATTCATAGAGATCAGAATGCCTCCCCAGACCCAGTTCCAGCTGCTGTAAGGACGTACCAGAGTCCAAGAGACTCTAACAGCAGTCACCAGTCCCTCCCTGCTCAGCAGGCTGTGATGCAGGGTCATTGTGCCAGCATGGGGGCTTCTGGCCTGACCCTTCCCGCTGCTGACAACTGCCCACTTGTGTGTTCCACACAGGCAGGGAGTTGCTGGCTGTCAACTTCTCTCGTCAGATCTCTTACTTCCTGGGCTTCTATCCTCGTGACTCTTCACCTCCTGCAGGGTAGAGTCCCTCCATCACGTGGTAGTTAGGTTTCAAAGGTTAAGTTTTGAGAGTACATACACAGTCTGTGATGGTCCCTGACCCCAGAGAGCCCAGTAGCCCCCTGCCCTGCAGAGACTTCCTGCAGTTTCGACTCCTGGGAGCTCTTCCCCAGTCACTGTGGGAGGAGGGGTGGCTGGTTTGGTTTCTCAGATCGGTCTGTAGCACACAGACAGTGACACCCACTTCCCCTGCATCTCAGGACCTCTGAAGGACCCACAAGGGCTTTACCTACCAACAGCTCTGAATGGTACCTGGAGATGCACAAAAGCTTATTCACTTCTGCCGAGGGGTCCCAGGCTCTGAGGGTGGAGCTTGTCTTATTTCTGCGGCTTACCGACCATGTGACCTTGGACAGGCTGTTTCCTCTCTCATAGCCTCAGTTTCCCCAGTTGTTCAGTGGACATAATGAAGGTATTCACTTCTAGTTCTAACAAGTGCCCTAAAGAATGTGATGCTCTCAGCACAGGCCTGGTACTTAGCATGTGCTCAATAAACGAGGGCACACAGTGGGTAGTCTCAGTCCTCCCTGTAGTATTCTAAGGCACAGTCCCAGTGAGCCTTCTCTTTTGATGCCCAAAACAGCTCCAGGTTGTGAACTAGCCAGTATAACAAGTAGTCCTAGGTCACATGCTCATCACAGCCCAGAAAACAGGGTTGGCTGAGGAGTCACATCTCAGCCTCTTTTGTGGGGACCAAGGGAAAAAAAAATGTTCATTTTGTTTGGGTCTCATATAGCCCAGGCTGGCCTCAAACTCCTTATGTAGCCAAGGATGTCCTTGAACTTATGATCCTCCTGCTTCTACCTCCCAAGTGCTAGGATTACAAGTGTTCGTCACACTCATGGATTTTGTAGCACTGGGGATTGAACTCAGGGCTTTGTGAATGTTAGTCAGCCCCTCTACCCACTGAGCAAATCCCTAGACCCAAAATGTTACCTCTTTCTTAACCCTTGAATTCAAGGACCCTATGATCAGAGCAGGAAGTAGGTCTGGGAACAAGAAGAACAAGGCCCAGGGACAGTAAAGGTGACTGGATTGCTCTGTGCCCCAGGGGTCCTGGAGGAAGCTGAGTTCTACAACATTGGACCTCTGATTCGAATCATCAAAGACAGGATGGAAGAGAAAGACTACACAGTGACCCAGGTTTGGAGAGAGGAAGCAAGGCCAGTGGAGGGAGGGGGAGGGGAATGACGGGGGGGGGGGGGGGAGGCAGAGCTACCTGAGAAGGGAGGCCTCTCAGACTGCTCAGCACAGCCCCAGCTTGGATATACACTGCTAGGGCTCTACCCCTGCCTGGCTTCTGCCCTGTGTGACCAACGGCTATCGTGCCCTTGTTTCCCTCTGTGGAAAACAGAGATGCTCAGAGTTGCCTAGCTACCCTGACTCACAGGGTATCAGCAGCAGCACACTCCCCCTCCTCCACCTCCCTCCACCCCCAGCCACACAGGATGAGTAAATGTCCACTTCATGGAGTCAGGCAGTCCCCGAGTAGTTATGTACAAACTGTCGGGTTAGCATTTCAGAGCTCAGACCCCAGGCCTTTGAGGGCCAGGGTGAGATATCACCTCCCTGCCACAGGGGCTAAGGAGGTGAGGGCCTGACTCCACTGGTAACCCAGAACATCTCCTGTTTTGTATCACTCATACTCCACACATGGCTCTGCCACCCTTGAACCGATGACCCTAGGCAAGTCACTGAACCTCTCTGAGAGTCTCAGTATAAGATTCCATAATTCATAAGGGTCTCAGAGGAGTGAGTCCTGCATGGGAAACATCTGGCACATAGTAGGTGTTCAGAGCATGGGTCCCTCCTTTCCCACCTACCTTTCCTGCCCTCCGTCTACCGTTACAGGTTAGGGAAGGAGCAGCTGAGTGCCTCGTGCCCTTAGATGTGCCCTCCATGTAAGCGCTTTACCCACAGGTGCCACCCAAGCATGTGTACCGCGTGCTGCAATGCCAGGAGGAAGAGCTCACACAGATGGTCTCCACTATGTCCGATGGCTGGCGCTTCGAGCAGGTGGGCTGGGGACAGGGGACACCCTAAGCCTGTCCTTTCTAGCCTCCATTCCCTCCCCAAGCCCCATCGTCTTCTCGAATGGGACTAAGCAAGACTACAAAAGTGCCAGCAGGGCATGGGGACCAGGAATGGGCGAGGCAGGGAAGAAACCCTTGCCACTGGGCATCCTGGTCACTGGGGATCTTCATGGCAGCCAGTCTCTGGTCCTCAGGGACAGCTCAGGTGTAGGAGACCAGAACCACAGAGTTGAGTAGAGTCCCTGTCATGCCCCAGGCCTGACCTCCAGGGTCTCATGACACACAGGCAAAGTGATAAGCATCCCCCTTTCCTGGAAGCTCCAGGTGGTGCCTTCCCACATGTGACCAGCCGTGCCTCCAGGCCATATGTAGGTCACCATGGGAGAGTCCTGTTATCAGCCACACAGCCACGCTTTACCTCTTGGGATGCTAGGGGCACAGAGCCCCAAAATGAACTCAAGTTCTAAACAGCCTTGAGAGTTAGAGAAGAGTTGAGCTAGCCCCCTAGGTACCTAGCCTACCAACTTCCTCCTGCATGGAAACTGGAGGAGAAGGCTGGTCTTACAGGATAGCCATTATGAGGAACACCAGCCAGCCAGAAGGGAGGACACCCTCTCTTCCTGCCCTGCCCTTTGTCAGTCCTCTGACTTGAGCAAGCCAGCTCCTCCCCCAGTCTCTGCAGCCTGGGATGTGAGCTCAGGTACCTCCTTTGCAAGGCCTTTGTGACAGTGAGAAGAGCCACCAGGAAAGGTTCTAGTTTGGGGCAGGACTCCAGTCATCGGCACCAATGTCACGCCATTAAAAGATCCACATCCACAGTCCACATGTGGACTCAGGAAGTCAGGGTCACCCTCAGCTGCATAGTGAGTTCGAGGCCCTGTCTCAAAAAAACTAGAAACAATGTGTGTAAATCTGTAGGACTCCAGGGAGGAGGTGGTGGTCTCCTGGGTTTGGTCCCTAGGCTGCCTCTTGCCAGTATGAGTCCTCTGATAGCCTACTGTCTCTCCTGCCCTCTGCTGGCCGAGAAGGTAATGCTTTCCTTTAGTTGGTCCCAAGAGCTCAGGACCATGTTTTTGTCAGAAGGGTCAGAAGGGGGGTGGGGGGGAGACAGACAGGGGCGCTAAGCAGTTGCTCTCCGAGACTAGGCCAGCAGGTAAGGGGTCACCAGTCTGGGCCCTGTAGCCTCAGGAGTCGGCTGCCTCTTCTGGGAATGAAAGGAATAATCCATAGGTTCTACTCCACCAACCCTAGCCTGCAAGGCTAGTCCTGGAGCTGCTGCAGCAATGTCGGGGTGAGGTGGACCCCACTTGCTTCAGGAAGTGGCACCCCGTTGCAGGGTATAGTTGGGGAGATACTACCCTCTGTTTCGGGCTCAGATCCAGCCATGCCTGCAGAGGTGCTGGTGGGGACCAGGGAGCCTGCCTTCCTAAGCTCTGTGTCTATCCTGCCGGCTACCCCACCCTTTACCCGTCCTCTCGGTGTCTCTGTTCTCCAGCTGGTGAACATCGGTTCCTCCTACAACTACGGGAGTGAGGACCAGGCCGAGTTCCTGTGCGTGGTGTCCAAGGAGCTGCACAGCTCCCCACACGGCCTGAGCTCACAGTCTACTCGCAAGACCAAGGTGAGTCCCTGCCCCGTGTGAAGAAGGCACCCCTCCCCCATCCCGCGCTTCCTCCTCCCTCCTGCCGCACCTACATAACACTCATGGTCATAGCCATCCATCCCATGCCACTACAGTTCAGTCAGCTCACACCCTTGGCCCAGGCTGGGGAGCTGTCAGGCAGGAGGAGCATTGCAAGACCCCAGACAGAGCGGGCTCGATGCCTCTGACTCATCCTGAAGCATCATCAAGGGGCCACATGGGCAGCTGTTGAAGCGCATAGAGCACACTGAAGCAGGGGCCCGGGTGGGGCGTGCTGCTGCCGTATGACCTCCGGCAAGTCTCTCTTCTTGCACCTTTGCCAGATTCTCTGTGAAGGGAGCGGACGGGTCATGAGCTCTTGGTGATTCCAGGCTGGAACTCCTGGGTTCCCATCTGCTGCTTTATTTCCCAGGGACTGGTGACCATCTGGTCACCTATCAGCCTAGGTCAGGATATCCTACCCTTCCTCAGGCCTTTTGGATAGCCTGTCTGAAGGATGTTAGGAGCCCTGTGGGCTCTGACCTAGGCAGCAAGTTCCCAAGCACACAGTTGACAGGCAGCCTGTGGGGAGGAATTGAGTAGGGTCTTGTCCTCTTGGGCCTGTGGTAGGGCCCTCGAAGTAGGCATGATCCAGATTGGGAAGGCGGAGCTGTGCCCACGTGCTGGAGTCGTAGGAACTCTGGATTCTGGTGTGTTCCCCTTGCCACGCCCCATGTCAGTGGCTGGCTCTTCCCTGCAAGAGTGCAGGGTGCCCTGCTGCACTGACTCCCTGTGTCACCAACCTGGCCCAGGCTGCCAGACACTGTTGCTGGCATCTAGATCTGGCTGGTGACTGCCCTGGGACAACCTTGGCTTCCTGCTCTGGATCCATCCTTCCAAAGTAAGGCCTTCCCGGGAGCCCGCGGGCTCCTATCCCAGCCCTCCCCATAGCCGGGCTCTGTAACAGCAGCCTGGCTGGGCTCTGAGCATCCCCTCTGGGCTAGAGAAGACCCACTAGCTGCTTTGGCTGCAGCCCTCCCTCTCCCAGAGGTCCCTTTCATCCCGCCTGCCCCTCAGTCCTGAGGTCGGGGTTCCCTGCGGACAGCTGCCCGCAGCCCCGCCCCCTCGTCAGTGTCTCCACTCTCTCTTCCCTGGTCGGCGGCGGGTGCACAGAGCACGGACGAGCAGCTGGAGGAGCAGCGGCGGCAGGAGGTGGAGGAGGTGGAGGTGGCCCAGGTGCAGGTGGAGGCGGATGCCCAGGAGAAAGGTGCAGCCCGCCCCCAAGAGGACGATTGCTAATGACAGCCCGGGCCTCCCGCCCTCTCCCTGCTGGAGCAGCTGCCGCCGGGAACTGCGGGGGCGGGCCACCAGGGTTAGCTCAGCGCCTGGCGCCTCGCCCATAACCATCCCTCTCTCACTTTCTCTTGCAGCCCTGTCATCTCAGGATCCCGCTAACCTTTTCTCCCTCCCACCACCGCCTCCTCCTCCTCCGCTTCCTGCTGGAGGTCCTGCTTCATCTTCATCCACCTCCTCTTCCTCCTGGATCTCATCTGCACCCTGCCTCTTCCCTCTCTGCCCTTGCCCAGGTTTCCTCTCCGCCTGCTCCCGTCTCCACTCTGGGGCTGCCCTAGTCCCAGTCTCCCGTGCCCTCTCCCCAGGTCCCCTCGGCCTGCATCCCCAAGCATCCTGCCTGCCGCCTCCTTCGCCCCTTCCGGCCCCTCCTGCCTCCTGGCCTGGGGAGGAGGGGCGTGGCCGCATCTGCTCTATGCCCTCCAACCCAGCAGAGCACCTGTGAGGCTGGCCTTGGCCACAGGCCCCACTCTTCCCACTTGCCTCCTCACGTTTCCTCCTTGCAGGTCCCTGTCCGCACCCTCCCAGACCCAAGCCTGAGCTTGCCGTGAGAGCTCCTCGGCCCCGCGCCCGCCCCCAGAGCTGCCGCCCCTGGTTTGTAGCCTGGCAGAGCTGGAGGGAGGGGCGGAAGCAAGGAGGGTGCTCATATTTTTGTCTTTGGACTCGAGCCGATCTTTTGGCTGATTTTCTCCACCCACCAAAGTCTCTCAACTTATCTGGTCCTTGGGGTGAGGCCCCGAGAACTGAAAGAGTCCAGTGGTGGAGACAGACTCTCACACTCGGTCGGCACTGGAGCCAGGCTGGGGAGGGGAGCCCTGTGCCTCTGCCCCACCCCGCATGTCGTGCAGCACTGCATGTGGGTACTGTGTCCCCCTAGTTCTGCGGAGTGGGTGGACAGGCCATATGTGGTGCTCCTTGGCTGAGGAGTTGGCAAGAGCCTGCCAAGTGTGGCAGAAAAAAAACCAATCTGCTCTCTGGCTGACCATAGCCTTCAGTCGGCCTTATCTCCCTGTGTGACCTTGGGCAAGTCACCGCCTCTCCCTGAGCCACAGTTGGATTCTAAGATGGGGGCAGACAGCTGCTTCCAGTGCCCCCTTTTTGCCTGGGACAGCAGTGATCTGCCTCTCCATCTCTGCCCTGCCACCAGGCTGCCACTACCAGCCCAAGACGTCAGCTTCTCCCCTCCTCGGTTCTGACTCCACCTCCTTTGGGCCTCAGCCCCACCCCTCCTCCAGAGCCAGCCTGGGACTCACTTGCCTTTTTCTCTCCCTCTCTCCCTCCCTCCCCCACTCTCCCCAACTTTCCTGTCCTGGCATTACCCTGTCCTCACTCCCCCCCAACCCTGGATTTCTGACCCCCTTTCCTCTTCCTCTGTCCCTCCCCCTCTTATTTTCTAGCTATTACAAGCCAGAGGCACCCGGATGTGAGCCCCCAGATCACCTCCAGGGACTTGGGGTTCCGATCTGAAATCCTTTATTTTTGTACCACGGGGTGGGCCCCTGGCCCGAGGAGGAAGACATGCCCTCTACCTTGTCAATGCTGCCTGCATCTGCCGGGCTGAAACTCACTCCAGCCTTGAGGCCCGGGTCTGGGGCCCTCTGGGACCTTGGAAGGCCTGAGGTGGGCCCTGGGGTCTCCAGGCAGAGTCGCCATAGCCAAACTCTGGCGCTGCCCACCCATATCTCCCAGGCTCCTTTGTCCCCTCACCTGGGCACCCATGCTGCATGGCGGATACACTCCTTCCCAGCCCAGTCATAGCATATCCCAGAGCCTCAGTCTCCATGGCACCATAGGGTCACCCCCTCCTCCCACCTACCTCACAGGGTTGTTGGGAGAATCAGGGAGGATCATGGGGTTCCTGGAAACCCTAAGTGTGTTGGGGCTGCAATCATTACCTTCTGAGGGGAAGAACTCTAGCCCAGCCCCCGAATGGGACACTATGGCCTCAGATTCTGGTGGGGGAGAAATATGAAGACTTAGCCAGGCAGGAAGGAAGGTATAGGCTTCACAGCACCTTGGCCACCCCTCCTCTGTGCCATGTGTTTGGCAGTGTCAGTCATGAGGCTGCCTAGGAACTTGGGATAGGGAAGGGGGCAGCTGTAATGGGCTGAGCTGCCTCGCCCCTGTCTTGACCCCGGGGATGGGCACATGTCTGTCAGTTATGTCCCACCCACCATGAAATAAACTGAACAAACAGGCTTGGCCTGGCTGCCTTCCTTTTTCTCTGTCTGGGCCACTTCTGAGAACAGGGCTTAAACTCAGGCGAGGTCGCACTCCAAGGAATCGGACTCTCCCCTGAAGCCCCGCCCCTTTGCTGTTGTCTCTTTCTCCCGGTCAGGATATGACTAAGTCCCGGACTCAGGATTCAGAATTGAGGTTACCTGCTCTGCCAACAGCCCTGCTGTGTCCTACGCCCTGGGACACCCCTCTACTTCTTGAACACCTGGCCACCCTCCCTCTTGCCCCGCACCTCCTCTCCCCTTCTTTGTGAAGCTGGGCTGCCAGCTTCTGAGTGTCCCCACACCCAGCAGTGATGTGCTAAGGTCAGGGGCCACTGGGGCACCCTCCTTCCAGCTCAAAGCATGGAAAACGTCACCACCACCATGAGGACACAGTCCCTAAAGGTGAGCTCACTCTTCCAGGCCAGCTTTTCCGGAGCCCACTGGAGTTGTCATGTTCAAAGATGTGGTCCTTCCTCCTCACCTGTTTTAAGATTCTATAATAGCGACTAAATGGGGCCCTGAATTTTAGCAGAGTCCCCTAGAGCTAGGAATTCAGGGGAGACGGCCATATGACCGTGTCATGACTTACCCACAGGTCCAGAGGCTCAGCTGCCTTCCTGACCCCTCTCCTAGCAGAATCCGGTGCCTCCCACTGCTTCCTGGCCAGCCTTTCCCCCTACCACTCCTTGGCTAGTCCAGAACTCAGTGCACTTATCACCACTGCCTCCAGGGGGCACCCCTGTGTCATAACTCTTTCAGCTCATGCCTTGCTTGCTCCAGCTGTCTTGGCTCTTCCCTGACTTCAGCTACCCCAACATGGTGTGGGTGCTGGTTGTAAAATGTGAAGCCACCTTGCTTTCCAGCCTGCCATGCCTCCCATAGCCGTGCCCCCCTCCCCAGTCGAATCCTCTGCTCATCCTGTGTCTCACCTCCCTGCAGCCCCCTGGCTTGCTCTTCTTTTTCCTGTGTTCTGGGTATACCTAGCTCCCTGGTTCCTTGTGTGCCCTGTTCTCTGGGGCTATATGCCCTCTGCCTTTTCCTTTCCTCCACAAAGCCCCTATCTGCCCTTGAGTCCCAGCACCCACTGTTCTCCACAGAGGCTTCTTCACGCATCACAAGGGCCTGAGCCAGATAGTGACAGGCATAAGATGTGTAGAGCCACTCAGATACCAGCGTCGGGGCTCGGTCAAGTGCTTTATTTCCAGAACAGACAGTGGGGCCTCCAGTGAATGGCAGGGAGGGCCCTGTAGCAGGCAGAGCTGCAGCAGGCACCGCAGCTGAGGCTGCCCCATGATTTGGCTTTACAGGACAGCCTACTTGGCAGTCTCAAGGACTCTGACAGAACCTTGATAGAGGCACCTTCTTTCTCTGAGCAGTTCCCCCAAGAGCCTTTTGCAAGGGGAAGGATTCTTACTTTCCTACAGAGATCTGGGAGCCAGCATCATTGCCACCAGACCCCACCCCAAAACAGTGGTAGGAGAGGAGAGGGCTAAGGGCTAGAATAAGAAAGGGTTGGAAGTGAAGCAGAGCTGAGGCTAGCCCCTGGACCTCAGGAGGCATCCTAACCACCAGATGACATCCTTCTCTGCACTGTCACTGGGGTAGGCCTGAGGGGACAGGCCTTAGCAGAGTCACTTGCCTCAATACTTGTGCCCTGGCCGTGTGGGCACCCTGAACTTGGGCTGGAGGCAGGTCCAGCTCTGTAGAACAGCCCCTCAGGTCAGCATCTGCTGGATCCAGTTGATCACACGTGTGACACGGGTGTAGACGCCAAAGAAGTTGGGTCGGCCACAGCCTAGGCCCCAGCTAACCAACCCTGCCAGGAACCAGCGGCCACTGGGCTCCTTGCAAACCAGTGGACCTCCAGAGTCACCCTAAAACAGGAGAGACATGACTGCCTCGGGGTGAGGGTCTTACCTGTGTGACCCCAGCCCCAAGGTCTCAGCATAGCAAGGAGCAGAGCCAAAGATCTTCAACCCGAAGGGGCCTGCTATGTGCCTCTGCAGCCATGAGCAGACCCCTCAGCCTCTGAAGGCCTCAGGCTCCTCGTCTGTAAAATCGGAACAGTCGTCCCCCCTTTAGCCCACACCCCATAGGTAGTTACCTGGCAGGCATCTTTCTTGCCCTTGCGGTAGCCAGCACAGAGCATGCGTGGGGTCACCTGGTAGCGGTAGGCCTCATTGCACAGGTCCTGAGGGACCAGCTGTACATCCACCTTCTGCAGGGTGCTGCTACCGGGGCCTGCAGAAGCGAAAATGAGGGGCTGGGAATTGTCTCCCCATAGGAAGACCTTCCCACTCTGTCCCATCACTACTGGCTGCTCTGCATGGTTCACGGTGACAAGGCTCTCACCCCCACCCCTGAAGAGCCTGTTAGAGCATTCCCCTCCCTCATTCCTCTCAAGGGTTTCCAGGCTCGACCAGACTTTGTCTGTTCTATTGTAGGCGCTGGGGGATGCTCTCTGATACATGTGCAAGGCCTTTGGCATACGCCCTAGTGGCCTCTCTGTTCAGCCCAGATCTTGTCCTGGATCACGTGGGATAGTATCCACCAGTCTAGCGCTGGCCCAGACAATGGGGTTTCAAAGCCCCTTTGGTTCTGAGATGCAGTATGGAGGACTCCTCACCCAAGATTTCTGTGGTGACCCTCAAACCCCACCTGTCCTTAAGGCCTTCCCTTAGCCACACCTCTCCCCGGCTCCCCTGCAGCTGGGGACACTCTCAGATCTGTCTACCTGACACATGTGCCTTTCTCTCCGACACCCGCTTCCCAGGCACCCCTTGGGTGCCTCAATGTAGACCCCTCCTCCTGACACCTTCGTGACTATGCTGGGCAGGTGCCTTCCCTAAGCTGTTTCCTGTTCCCCATCTGTGGTAGCTCATGGTCTGTCTTTCCCATAGCCCTCCTCGTACATCTCAATACTAGACACACAGTAGGTGCTCATGTGTATATTACTGAGTGATCGACCAGGTGGGCATCCCTTTGCTTTGCCAGCCTCATCTTGGCAAGGTCACCTTTCTGAGCCCCAGAGTCCCCATCTTTAGGCTATCTCTCTGGAGGTCAGGGTACAGCTGGGTGGTGGGACTGTCTCGGCCCACATGAGGCCCTCATTCAAGCCCCAGCACCACAACACATCTGCCCCCTACATCTAAGTGGTCAGTCACCATGTTCAGTTACAGTCAAGACTGCAGATAAGCCAGCCAAGCCTGCCAGAATTGAGGGGCAGCCTCCAGGCAGGGAAGCTCATTAGTTAAGGCCAGGAGTGGGGAATACCCTTTCTAGCAACAGAAGCAGGAAACCCTGAGTCCTAGAGAGAGGGCAGTTCTAGATCTGAGTCCCTGTTCAGCTCTCTTGACTAGATGGCTCTCCATAACTAAGGGACTCAGCCTCAGTTTTCTCATCAACAAAATGGGGCCATAGTACCCACCCCTAAGCCGAATGGCTTATATGACATCTTCCCCTCAGTGCAGTAATGAAGACCCTCATCTGACTCCCAACCCCACCCCCAGGGTTCATGTTGCCAAGCTGTGGCATCTCTGTCTGTCCTTGAGCTCACATCTATGCTTCCTGCGTAAGTTCTTCAGCGCCGTTTAGGGCAAAGGAGGGCAGGGAGGGCGTTAGCGGGACCCACAGCCCCTGTCAGACTTCTCTCTTTTAAAGTCCACTTCTGTCCATCCTGAAGCTGGAGGGCCTGGGGCTGGAACCCTGACAGCCTCCTTCCAAGCCTGCACCCGAGACCCCAGACCCCACCCCCTGCCCCAGCTCACCCCCCTCTCGCTGGGCTCCCCAGCCCGTGATCCAGCAGTGCTGGCCCGGCTCAAAGAAGTGGGACCGTGCGGGCAGGCAGACGGGGCGCACGGTGGCCGAGTACACCACAGGGTGGTCCAGCTGCAGCAGGGCCACGTCGTAGTCATGGCTGTCCTCCTCATGATACGGGTGCAGGAACAGGCGGCTCACCTTGAAGGACACCTCGCCTGGCCAGCGTGAGTTCTGCCGCATCTTTCCCAGGAACACGGTCCACAGCCTCGGGGAGGCCATGCTGGGTGGGTGGCAGGGGAAGAGTGTCGGGGCTCAGCTGCTAAGTCTCGAATCAGGGGACCCAGTTGATAACAGTCAGCTTTCCTACTGGGGTGAAGGAGCCCATCTCCCTCTGCACCATCCCCTTTCTCCTTTCTCTCTATACAGTGATGACTGAGCACATGTCTGAGTTCTCATGCCTGGGCTCCACCCTCAGCCTCATCTCTCCCTAGCTAAGCCTGGCCTTCTCTAGTAACTAAGGGACTCATCCTCAGTTTTCTCATCCACAAAATGGGGCCATAGTACCCACCCCTATAGCTGAATGGCTCCTATGACATCTTCCCCTCAGCGCAGTCTGCGGTAATGAAGAGCCTCATCCGACCCCCACCCACCCCCAAGGTTCATCTATGAAATGGAAACATTCTCTAAGTCCATGGTCTAAGGACACACAAGAAGAGCCCAGTGCCAGACCTGAGTCAGTGTTTCCCTGTCTGTAGCCCATTCTGCAGACTCAGCAGGTGGGGGCTTGGAAGGGGCTTAGTGAAGAAATTAGCAGAGAGCTAAGAAGAGTAGGTAGGCACGGCAGAGTGTCCCAAACAGGTCCCCAGAAGCCACCAGAGGGCAGGAGGTTGCAGGCTTCTGTGGGAGGGGCCTGAGAGGTTTGGAACTCAGATCCAGTTAAGACTGAGAAGGGGTTCATATCACCAGGGAAAGAGGTTTGAGGACCAGTGAGGTGTCCCCTGAGAGCGTCCCTGCCCCCTTCCTCATTATGGTTCAAATTATGGTAGGGGTGACAACTTGTGACCAGCATGGACAGTCGTCCCCTTCACTGCTTCCCTGATGTCCAGCACAGCCCTTGACATCGGAGCGCAGTCATTGGGTTAATGGAATGAATAAACGATAGTGCTCTCAACTTAAAGCAAGAGGAGAACACAGACAGGTTGGACAGTCAGCCTAGCAACACACAGCGTGTCTGCAGCAGAGCCAGACCAGATCCCACATGTCATGGCAGCCACTCCGGGATGTTCACTACCCGTTCCTCCGTCTGAGTACAGTGTGCACACGCTGTACCTCTCATGGCCTTCCCTGTGCCCACCTCCAGACCCTGTGGTGTCCTCTCACCTGTCCTCCTGAAAGCAGTGGGCGGCCGTTATGACCCAGCGGTCAGCGATGAGAGCTCCCCCACAGATGTGTCGACCCCGAATCTGGAGGCTGGCCTGCCACGGCCACTCGCCCTCGGAGGACACGGCCCCGCCCACAATGCGGCTGGAGGGGCCCTGGAGGCCACAGTCTGGGAGTGGGAGAGGGCCAGGGGTTAGGGGAACAGAGAAGAAGGAGAGGGGAGGAAGAGATCCTAATGAGGAATGGAGACAGAAAACAAAGGAAAGTAATGGAGAGGTGGGGGGGGGGGGCAAGAAGGAGAGATAGGCCCAGGAAAAGGTTACAGAGACAGCTAGGCACAAGACAGACACATAATGACACTCCCCTCCTGCTCCCCATGAGGGTCCCTGCCCGCCTCCCAAAGCCCGGCCTTCATACACAGCCCTGGCTGGCAGGCTCACCACAGTTTTGTTCATCTGAGCCATCCCTGCAGTCTGACTGCCCGTCACACTCTGGGTTGGTCTTCTTCACACAGCTCCGGTCCTCACACTGGAAAGTGAATGTCCCACAGGGCACTCCTGGGATGGAGGGGACCGGGCAGGCCACTGAAGGTGGGTCTCTGAGCAACGAGGGAGCCTTCCAAAGCGAGACCCAGAAAAAATGGCACCAGGAGAGGCCAGGAGACTAGGGAGTGGGGGGGTCTCAATCACACCAAAGGGTTCCCCAAGTCTCCCCTAGGGTTACCTCTCACCCCACGTTCAGCCTGGCTTGTTGACCATGAGGCTGTGTTCCCTCTCTCAAACTCCAGCTGCTGACCTTACACTCCCATGAAGCAAAACTGGAGGCAAAACTGTGCCTCTCCAATCAGACTAGAGACACAAGAGCGGCTATGTTTCTCAGACGTCATAGACACTCCACCCTGCTGTGCTCTTTCGTAATGGACATCCCAGTGCTCCCTGCTCTGTGTTGGCTTTCCTCACTTCCAATGCTTCAGTCTGCTTAAACCCCAGCTCTCCAGCTAAAAGCACACCTCCTCCAAGAAGCTGTCCGTGTCCTCAGCCTTCCCACACTACTGTGTACATGGTGTCCCAAAGCTTTCTGTCACCCGTCACGTCCTCTTAGTAAGAGGGCAGATACCACATCTCTCTCGTCTCATTTCTACCTCCTCACTGCCCCGACCCACCACTGGGTAGCCTGCCCGTGTCGGCTGGATTTTCAGATAAATAGATGACTGGCTTGCTGACAGACTGGCTGGCTAGATGGATGGAACCACAGACTCCTAGAAAGGATGAACAAGTGACTGTGTGACACAGAGGGTGGGAAGGGTGTATCAGAAACAAAGATGGAAGGGTGGATGATTAGTGAGTGGTTGGATGGATGGATGGATAGATGGATGGATGGATGGATGGATAGATGGATGGATGTTAGACAGATAAATGGGTGGATAGATGGATGAACGGATGGACGGCTGGATGGACAGACCTCTGAGCAGATAGCTGAACATGCTGATGTATGCTCAGTTGGTTGGCACTATTTGGGTAAGAGGACAGGGACCTTTGTAGCAGCAGGTGTTGCCGTGACCCGCTTTGATCTCCTTGGAGACCACGGGCGGGATCTCCCTACCTTCTTGGCACTGCTCTTCGTCACTGCCGTTGAGACAGTCAGGCTGCCGGTCACAGACTCTCGGCAGTGAGATGCACGTGCTGTCCTCTTGGCACTGGTACATGGCTCTGCAGACTGTGGGTACAGAGGACAATGGTTGGTGAGGCCCCGGGGAATAGGCTGGGGCTTTACAGTGGCAGTGGATGCTCCCTGCATCATGTGTGTACTGTCACACATCTACCCGTCTCACAGCCATCCTGGAAAGACCCATTTTATTGATGGGAACAGATGAGACTGATGGGCCTAAGGTCCCCAGAGGTTCAGGATCAATTATGAAATCTCTTCCGCTGATTCTCTCCTCACACTGAGAATGGACAAGGCAGGTGTGGACATCACTGCCCAGGTACCTTGACTCCCCGGTGACTCTAGGGATCAGAAGCTGGAATTTGCTCAGAATTCTTCCTGAGAGCCCTAGTCTGGGGACCACTTCCCACCTCAGGCTGGAGGGATGAGGGCCCCACCCCATTCAAGGAGAGAGATACGAGATACTGGATTCCTACTCTAGATCCCAGTTCCTGAGAGTCTCAGCCCAGCTGACACTCCTGCTTGGCTCTGCCCTCCTCCTCTTGGTTATTTTTCAGAAGACCATCCAGGACAGACTGCTGGCACATTTGCTTATGATTGGAAGGTGAAAGCTGAGCTGAGGTCACAGTGTGTCCCAGACACTCTCTCAGTGGAGGTGGCGGGGGATCGGCTGGCTCTGGGGAGGTCACTTTTCCACATTGCCATCCTGAGACAGTGCAAGAACCCTGGGTTCCTGGGTGCTCACAAAGAGGGACCACAGGACGGGTAGAGCTAGTTCAGTCCAGGGAGAGGAGGGAAGGGACAAGCTGCTCACCACAGTTTCTCTCATCCAGACCATTGGGGCAGTCCTTGATCCCGTCACACGCAGGGACACACAGTCCATTCACAGAGCAAAGGAACTCTCCAGGGCAGGCTGGGCACCCGCAGGAGGCAACGGAAACAGAAGAGCACACTTAGGATACATGGCTGAAATGTGTGCATCTGTATCCTTATATGAATGCGATTAGATGCCCATGCACCTGCCCCAGTGCCTGGTGTCTGTGGTCCATGCAGAGCTACATCCAGACAACACACACAAAGGGATACATGGAACTGCCTGCCCAGCACATAGAACTATGTGCCGTGTGTACACATGTGTATGAACACACAAAGCACCATCACTGTGGCCTAGCCTAATGAATGTTTGTGTTTGCTGGGGACAGCAAAGGGGCAGGACACCTCCCCCCACACCTTGTACTCACGATCTGATTGGTTGTACAAGCTGTAGTATACTTGCACACCCGGGCCTGTGAGGGAGATCTGCGAGGTGAAGTTGATGGTGACACCATCCGAGGCCACCATGGGGATCCTCTCAGCATACGGCTGCAGGGTACGGAAGCCACACAGCCTAGGAGTGACCAGGGATGGCTTAGACACAGGGACTGGTTTCCCAGCCAAGAGAAGAAACAACCTAGGTCCCTATGCACAGACAGGGTAAGGACCAGGCAGTCAGAAGCAATGGGGCCCATCCGTACTCCCTCTTCATTTCTCCTTTGGGTGGCTGCTTAGCCCCAGAGTCATCGTCTAGAAAGGAGTTTATGTCACTCCCCCGCTCAAAAACCTGCAGTGGGTCCCCATTGCCTATGGGATAAAATTCCGTCTGGATTCTAGCCCCAGTCACCCATAGGCTCTGAGAATCTGGCTAGTCAAGGGCCTCCTCTGAGGAGTCTCACTCTCCCTCCTTATTCCATGAGGAAAACAATCATTTCAGCAACCTTCGATCTACAAAGTTTCCATGTATCTGCAGAGGCAGAGGACCTCAGCTGGCCAACTGTCTGTAGACACGAAACACAGTCAGCCCACCAACCAACCAGGCAAGCCCACTCAGCCCTTGGACAGAGACAATTGGGAAACTCCAAGGTGGAGCTAGAATCTGAGCCCCTCCAGTTCAGGGCAGGAGGAGCTCTGGAGACCCTCACCATCACTTCCTGGCCAGGCTCTAGCTTCAAGTGCATCTGTAACCTACACCCATGAGTAGTTCTCAAAGTGCAGTCCAGAGACCCCTGGGAGCCTAAAAGTCACCTCTATAGTGACGCTCTAATCCCATTTGACCCTCCCTCCCTCCTTCCCTCACAACAACACAGTGGAATTTTCCAGATAGGTGACTGGTGCTCTGTAACTGAGGGCAGATGGGTATGTTAGGGTGCCAGCCCTGCTCCATTAAGCCAGTTATTAAAGAATCTGCAAAAGATTTGAAGGGTCGATATTTGTGTTACTAGATGTTGGGGTGCCCCATCGTTTCAAGGCAAATTAAGGGGTCCTGAAAAGTAATTGTTTTGCGAGCCCCAGAATCCCAACTGCCCAGCTGCTAGTCAAAGAACGAATAGCCACTAGGGGGCGCGCGGAGCAAGCCTGGGCCTTTGCCGTCCCCCCACCCCCCTCGCCCTTTTTTAAAGCCAAGGAAACGTGGGTTCCCAGGTTCCCGGTGGATAAAAAAGATAGAATCCTGGATTCTTATCCTCAGAGGACAACCCCAGGAAGTGGGCAGGGCATTTGAGAAATGTGATTTTTTTTTTAAGTTATTTACGTTAAATCATGCATTTTAAAGAAATCACAGTAGTTTTCCCTTTATGCATGGGAGACATTCCCAGACCCCTGTGGATACCAAAAATCCCATGCAGTGGCAAACACTACCTGTACTATAGACTCTGCCTATACGTATCTGTCGATGTTAAGTCTCTCTTGGTAATTTGGGCTCTAAAAGAGAACAGCAACTAGTGAAACAGATTCACTTCTGGAATTTTCCACTTAAGTATTTTCCGATCACAGATTACCATAAGAAACTGAGAGGGAACTGATGAAGTACACGCTTCTGAACTAATCAGATTTAACTCCTGACACAGGCATTTAACCCGCAAGAGCAAGGGTGCTGGGCTGTGTAAAGAAAAGTAAAAACCCCCGAGAGGGGAGGGAAAGCCAGAGCCTAGCTCGCCCTTGACAGATGAGATCGCCACCAGGGGGCGCCGTGGAGCAAAGACCAGCCACCTTTTAAGCTAAGAGGAACCCTATTGTTACTTGAGGGCATTATTATAAATATATAAACTTGTGTTATGGTTATGATAAACGTATAGTTCTCATGCATTTCTCTCCTAGGGAAGGGCCCCGAGAAGCAGACTGGGAAGCTGGGAACATCCCGAAACAAATGGAAGATTCAGGCCTATGGAGCCCTGTTCGCGAGTTTCTGGCCCCTCCGTTCCTCCTGTCCACCTAGCTCTCTCCCCTCAGTAGCTAAGTGTTGGAGTCAGAAAGTGCTGGGGCACTATATGGCTTGCCTTGCTCCCCCACCCCATCTCTTGAGTTTGGGGGGGCTTGAGGAGGGCGATTCTTTCCGTCAGGCCTCATTCAGATGCACAGTGAGTACCTGTCAATCTACCATACTGGCAGCTTCCCACATAGTAGTTGGAGATGCTGGATGGATGGGCAGGAGAAAAGGAGTGAGGAGGGGCCAGGCCTCACTTTGAACATGGCTTTTTCTAAGGACAAGCTGAAGGACTGAGGGCAGAAAGACAACACTGAGGGAGGGACAGTGGCCTGCTCTGTGGTGGGCAGGACGTTTGAATAGCACTGAAGAGTCAGGCTCAACTTAACTTTACGACCAGACAAGTTCTGTGACCTCAGCAAACTTCAGGCCTCAGTAAGTGTGGTGGCCACACTGTAGTCAGGAGAGAGCCATCCCCTGCCCCCACCTCCTTGATATTTCAGAGGACCTGGAAAATGGGTTTAGGGGACCTGACACAGGGTGGCTGCAAGTGACGCTAGTCACAGGGCTTTGGGGAAGCAGAAAGACCACTTAGAGCCAGGCCAAGCCACAGGGGCTGCCACGGGACTCTGGAGCCTGTCGTTCCGCCTTATCTCATGGCTGGAAGTTAGCAGAAAGGGTCAGGCAGGTCACAGGAGAGTGACATCACAGGAGAGGAAATGAGGGCAGGTTCCTGGAAGGGGGGAAGCCAGCTCTGCGGTAGCACCCAGTGAGGAGGTTCTGCGAAACCCAGCAGCCAGCAGCCAGATCTTACTAAGGACAAGAGTCCCGCCACCTGCAGGCCACTGAAAGGCAAGAGGACTCTGCGGGGACAGCAGGACAGCAGACAGCAGGCAGAACTGGGAGAAAAGAAAATGGACACACAGGGAGGGACCAAGGATGCCCAGCCAGTGGAGGAGTCCCTTGTCACTAGACTGGCACAAGGGGCAGGGGTTCAGCCATCTCTCCCCTGTCCCCCTCAATTGCTGGACCAACGGACCTGGTCTCTCTCTCTCTCCCCTCCTCCATCTCTCAGGCCCCTCCTACCCACACAGCAGATTTTCCAGGACATACTCTTCAGAGAATTTCCCAGCAATGACATTATCTTTATCAGCCCACAGTAACAGGAGATCAAGCCCCAGGCCTTTGTTGTATACTTCCCATCATGCCTTGCCTTCCACCAGGCATCGTATGGGGCAAGGAATTGGTTCTCAACTGGGGGGTGGACGACCCTGCATCCCAGGGGAAGGGCTGAGATGAGCTGGGACTTTCCCAGCTGCTCTCAGAGGAGCTGGTGAGAGCCACAGAGATGCCCTGTCCTCCCACCGGCAGGCAGGTGTCCTGGCTGGAATGGCTCTCCTGCACAGGATGCTTGGAGCCTTCGTGAGGAGACACCATACAACTGAGCTCTCTCTCCTTCCCTCCCTCTCCCCCCCACAACCCCCCACGGACAGGCACAGCTGGGCAATCATGCTCTGGGGGCCAGCTGCCTGAGCTCGGTGATGACATCACAAGCCACAGGGACTTTTTAGCAAATGACTCAGCCTCTGAGCCTCAGGCTTCCCACAAGCTGTGAGGCTTGTCCAACAAGTCCCTGAATCTCATACTTGAAACCAAAATTCATGCTTGGATCTCCAAAGTCTTATGCTAATGGCATTTGGAGGAAGGGCATTTTGGGAAGTGATTGGGTCAGGGGCTGCACCCTCCAAATGCATTGGTCTAGCAGATAAAGGTGTAGAGGCACTGGTGGGTGGCCTCAAGCTCTGCTCTGTCAGGCAAGCCGGTTTGGCCCTGCCTCATCACCTGACATTCTTTGCCACGTTATGACTCAGCAGAAAGTCATATGTCTTGCTCTCAGACTTCCAGCCTTTGCAACCAGGAGCTAAGCAAACCTCTATTCTTTATAAACTACCCTGCCTTGGCGATTTTGTTACAGCCACAGAAGCAGGTAGGGACAGGATCTGAGTACGCCTCCCTTGCTAGACTGTGGGAAGCACATAATCGTTTTCCATGCCTGTGTGGCACACAGTAAGAGCCGGTTAGCAGTTGTGGTTGGTACCTTCTCCACCCACCATCTTACTTAGTCTTCAGCAGAAGGGGCCTGCTTCAGGCTCTTTGCTTTGTTTATTTCTATGTGATAGGAAAGCACTCTTGTTTGGGACGACAGGTCTGTGGAAGTCAAGGAATGATTTCTGCAAGTCAGTCCCCTCCTTCTGCCATGTTGGTTCCAGGGACTGAACTCAGGTCCTCAAACTTGGCAGCAAGCCTCTTTACCTGGTCAGCCATCTTGCATGCCCATGGCTTTTTTTTTTTTTTTTTGACTCTTATTGGGGGTTACCGGGTGGAGCCCAGGAATCGCTATGTGTTAGAGCACAGAGCACATCCAAGCCTCAGCCTACTCAGGTAAGTTCCCGAGGCTGGGGGAGGTAAGTCTTACCCAAGAAGGAAACAGGGGAGCCAGGCTTTGAGCCCTGGTCTTCCTGCCTGTGGCTAACAACCATTGGGAAGGACCTTACTGTGACCCATCTGACTTACCCCAGAGAAGTTGATGCTCAGGTTGAGTACTGAGCTCTGGGGCCCACAGCACTTGGCACAGGGCCAGCCTAAGCTAATGGGATAGCCTTGGGCACAGGCTGCAGGAGAGTGCCAGACCCAAGGCTGTTCCCTCTCCCTCTGGCCTCTCAGAGATAGCCATGACACTCAGAGAGGGGTCATGGCAGAAAAAACAGCACATTCATTCAGGAAACTCTAATCACGGGTCAAGAGCATTACCTGGGCCCTAATGTGGAAACGAGAGGGCCAGCCACTCCCAGCGTGAAAAGGAGCTCCGTGAAGAAGGCCACCCATGACAGCACCCTTCCCCATGCAGACCTTCTGACCCCTAGCTTATGTCACACAGTGGGCCTGTCACTACAACAGCACAGACCTACGTCACACCATGGATATTTTACCTCCTTTTCATTACTGTCCCCAACAAATTGGAAAAAGCAAGCTTTGCCACTCCCTGCCACCCTCTATCTAGAATAAGAACAACTAATGGGCAAATGGGGCTTAGTGGTATTCTCAGTCGCTGGCCCTATGGGAGTGTCCATCTTCATCCTCCTGGCTAGCCCCTCCCCCAAGCCCCCAACACACACACACACACACACCTCACTTCACAGATCCCTCTGTCCCCTGCAAGCCCCCAAGAGGACGTTCTTAGCTAGACACTTCCTTGCAAGGAAGCCAAGTAGTCAGGCTGGACGCTGCAGGGAGCACAAATGCACAGGGCAACCCTGAGAGCCACTGTCCCTGTGGAAGCCAACGGCAGCAACCAATGTCGTCCTCTAGCTGTAGGGGAGTGGGAGAAAGGTCAGCAGTGCCTCCATGTGCTCCCAAGTGTCAGGCACCCTGTCCCCACCATTGGTGGAGCCTTGTTAGCATGCCCTGCGCCCTGCCCCCACCGTTGATGGAACCATACTGTTACAGAAGCCAAAGCAGCTCTACCATTTACCCTAACAAGATGATACAGGGACGGACAGGATGATAAGATTCTTGCTGAGGCTTGCTGGGCATCTGGAGAAGCCGGGGCTGGAGCAGGGTTGGTCAGGGCAGGAGGGACAGTCAGGAGAGGCTTCAGCCTCCACTCATTCCCCTCTGCCACCTCCCAGGCCCAGCACAGGTGAGGGTTTGAGGTCCTCATGATGGGGAGGGATGAGGTTACCTCCTGTTCTGGATCATCCACTGGCCTTGAGTACACAGTAGGTTGTACTTCTGCCTCCTCAGCGCGTAGGCATCGAACCAGAGTGCCAAGCCGTAGTCCAGAGAGGGCACCTGGGAAAGAAGGGCAGACAATCATGTGTCACACAGTGGGTATGGGCAAGCTGGGGCACCTGCCTCCTCAGATAAACAAGTCCCACCCTCCTGCTTTGTACTTAGCCTATGAGTACTTGGGCCAGACAGGATGTTGCCCCTCCTGTCCCAGATGCTGAAGCCCTCCGGATTGTTCTGGGCAGAGGGCAGGCTGCAGGAGGAGGGGAACTCACCGTGAGATGCCAGGAGCAGTGGGTACTGGGCGAGTAGTAACTGGGGTAGTAGGGTGTACGGAGGAAGCCCTGTGGGTCCAGCCTGCCCTCCAGTGTCAGGTTCACATGGCAGTCTGAATCCAAGAACAGCTATTAGGCTAGGTCCCTTGGCCCTCCCCATAGCGCCTCACAGCACCCCACTAACAGCAAAGCTCAGGGCCCAATATGACTATGTAAGTGTGCCTCCGTTTCCACATCCACAAAATGGGGAGAAGAGTATATAGTTCACCCGGCAGCGAGTAGACACAATGAACACAGTTCCATCTGCTGAGTGAAAAGCACACTGCACTTAACAGTGTGCAAAATACCCTCACAGCAGCCTCGCAGTGCAGCTGTGGAGTCATGGTTGCTGCCTTTGCAAAGAGGGAGGGGCAGAGGACATGACTCCATGCTAGAACGTTTGCTTAACAGGTGTGAAGGCCCAGAGGTCCATCTCAGCAATGCATACATACACACACACACACAAATGTACACGCACACACACATGCACATGCATAGACACACAGAGACACACGTATGCACACTCATGCACACACACACCTACCACACACACACCACACTATAAACACACCACACACATACCACACACACCACACTGCACACACATAAAACACACACATACACACACACACATACTGATGAGAGTTACAGGAGAGGAGGGAGGCTTGGCCAAGTCCCTCAGGAAGAGGCTCAGGGTGGAAGTGGCAGAGCAGTGACATTGGGTTCTCAGGTCACCTGTCCCTGGGGTCCAGAGCCTGAGAACCCAAGAGAACACCAGTTGTCACACCTGCAGGGCCAGGTCTGTGGGAGGTCTGTGGGAGAACCCAGGGATGACCCAGGAGAGTAAGAAGAACCATCAGACACCTTCAGGGGAATGGCAGCGAGTAACAGCAAGCGGTTCTAGCGAGGCCCCCAGCCCCTAGCTCAGACAGGTCCTTAATTCTGCTAACCCAGAGGACATAGAGGGGGCAGGGAGGGGCAGAATGGGAAGTGAGAAGCAGGAGGAACTGACTGGGGCTGGGAATGAGCCAAGACCTCCTGGGGGGATCTGCCAGGATGGACACCTTTGCTGGGGGCTGCCAGGGCCCTGGGATGAGCGTGAAAGAGAAACGGGGAGAGGTAGGAAGGGAGGGGAGGGGACTGCTGTGCATTGATGGCTTCCAGAGCCACTCTATCGCTGACAGGACAGAGAAGGCATAGCACGTGCCACCAGAGACCAGGGCTCCTCTCTGTGTCCCCCTCCATCCTTGGGGATCCTCACCCTGGAAGGCCACAGACTTCACTGAGAGCAGGAAAGGGTCATAGTAGCTATGTAGGCCCTTCTTCCACACCACGGCCATGACGGAGCCTGACGCCAGCACCTCCATCACGGGTTCCTGACGGCTGCACCCATAGACCCTGATGGAGCAGAGAAGTGTACAAGACGGTATGATCCAAGAGACATGGAAATGACACCACCTTGTCCTCTGGCATCAAACAATGACACAACTCAGTACTGCCTTCCCCATTTCCTGGAGAGTCTTCCAGATTCAGCACTCCTGTGTCCGTCTTGGAGGAGATGGTCAGGGCCCTAGAAGCCCCCAGCTACCCAGTACAGAATGAGGGTCACAATGGCTGTATACCCTCAATATTGTCTGTATCACAAAATGATGGGCAAGAGTATACACCCATTTTACAGATGAGAAAAACTGAGGTTCAAAAGGGCAAACACTGTGTTTTAAGGCACACAGCTAGGATGCAGCCGAGTGCTGTTTGAAATACCAGGCTGCTGCCAGATTCTAGAATATTTTAACAAGCCATGTGCCCTCTCAGAGTTGGCCTTAAAGATCACCTATAACTGGTTAGTTACATCCAGGTGGGGGAAACTGAGGCTCTGAGAAGGGAATGGAGATCACTGCTTGGCAAACAACCTTGAAGCCCCACCACCACCACCACCACCCCCGCCATTGCCACAGCAGCCATATGGGCCTGAGGCTGAGGCTGCAATGCAAAGTGTGACCTTTGACCCCGGGTCTCCCTCAGCCCTTCAGGGAGGGACTCACGAGGTGATAAGTCTCTTCTCCAGGGGCCCAGCTGCGTCATACATCGCCACCCTGTCTCTGCAATCGACCTGGGTCCACTCCAGCCGAACCTTGAGCATGAAGTCCTCAGGGCCCTGCAGATGCCACAGGCAGCTAGTGGTCTGCTGGTCGGGCCCCCTCAACCGGAGGACCTGGCCTGGGTTCACGTAGCTGTAGCAGTAACAGCCTGGAGGTGGAGAAGAACAGGTCCCTCAGCCAGGAAGAGAGACTGGGAATGGCCACAAAGCCTTCTCCAGCCATGGCAGAGGGCAGGGAGGAGAGGGGCTGGGCCGGGCTTGGGCACCCACCTTTCTTCCCCCTATAGCTCCCCAGCCCAGCCTCTGACTCACACACTCATTCAATCGTGTAGCAAACACACAGAGCCCTGTGGGGATGAGTGCCCGGCACAGATAGCACAGAAGACGAAGGCCTTGGACCCAGCCCAAGGTGTATATATGGCAAGGAGCAGGGAGGCCTGGGGGGGGAAGAGCTTTGCAGAATCTTATCACAGAGCAGGCTTTGCAGGAGGATGAGATAGGGGTAAAGAGGCAGACCCGGCTCACACCAGGACCAGCACTGCTCTGTCTGTGGCCATAAGGAGCCAAGAAGGTTAGGCAGGGAGATGCTATACAGTCTGGCATGGATCCCCCTGGAGTGACACTGAGCAGGCTGGAAGACCAGCAAGTTGGCTGCCTCATCCACCCAGAGGAGTTAAAGGGCCAGTATCAAACGCGCAGGGATGCTGCAAGGCCCAGGTATAGCATCTCACACTGTTCCCTGCCCTTAGTATCTCTGGACTTTCTACACCAGGAGGCTGACTTTCCCATCTGTACACTGAGGACAGTGGCCCATACTCATGGGGCTGCCACAGGCTGGGGACAGTACATTCTGCGACACACGGCATGGCATCAGAAATGCAAGCACTGAATAAAAACAATGTGTCTTTCTGTGATTCTGAGGGAAGAAGACAGGAAGAGGAAAACGCTCTGTGGCTAGGTACCCCGCGCTGAGTTGTCACCCCACAGCTGTCCCCACGGCTGAGGCTCAGCCCCAGCGAATAGCTACCCTCATTTCACAACTCCTCTTGTGTCTCGCCAGACCCCACACCCCAGAACATCTTCCATTAAACTCAACTTAATTTAATACATTTAGTCCCCTGATTAAGCATAATAAATTAAGTGCACTTATAAAATTTAATTTACTTAAAGCTCATTTAATCCATGAGCTAGTAAGGCTGTGCCTCCAGAGTACCCATTAAGCCTGGCCTTCAGCATCCTGAAGCAGGGAGGCCAGGCACTCTGCCAGCAAGCTCAGGGAATCCAGGACTGAACCTGAGATGGGTGGGGTGGGGGAGGGGAGCTGTTAGTACCATCCTGACACCGACATGCGTCAGCTGTGTGACTCTGGACAGTAGCTTAGCCATCCTGAGTCCTAGCATACATAAACATAACCCTCGCCCTATCCTCTGCGTGATGCTGAGAGCCAGGAAGGACCTGCTCCCTCTCCTGCCTTGGCCAGCCAGACTCCAGTGGGATATATACCTCCTGGGCACAGAGGCAGCCCAAGCATCTGCTGGGGGAAGAGAGAGACCTGTCTCTGCTATCTGGCTTCTCGGAGATGTCTCTGTTTTTCTGAACCTTGCTTTAAGCCCATACTTTACACTAGCCATTGTAACAATCTTTGCTTTTGAAAAGTAACAAAGTAGAGATATGTGCCCTCTTGTCCAGCACTAACGGCAAGCAGGACTAAGAGTCCTGCCCCAGCACTGGATGGAGGCAGTAAATACGCATGTCTGAACTAACTCTCTCCTAGGCTTGGCTCATGGTATGCAGAGCCATGTCTCATCTGGTCAAGGGGCCCTTCCCCTCTAGACCCAGGAACTCCCAACAACCCAGGCTTGGGCCTGACACCTGGCCTGGGCTTGAGGCCCCGCCTGGGCTTGAGGCCCCGCCTGGGCCTGACACTGCAGCCTCTAGGAAGGCGTTGGATGCTGAATCTGGAACTGTTCCCTCTTCCCTGGATCCCCTCACCTGGCTCCTTTCTCAGCCTTGCAGCTACATCTACCTCCATGCCCTGCTCAGAAACATTCTTTCCCTCATAGCCTATCTGCGCTGGTTCTGGCACTTGGCCTGTGATAGTCTGTGTTTGTCTCTCAGTGGGGATCAGAGCTCTCAGCAATTTTGTGTGTGTGTGTGTTGTGTGTGTGTTGTGTGTGTGGTATGTGTGTGTGGTATGTGTGTGTGGTGTGTATGTGGTGTGTGTGTGTGTGGTGTGTGTGTGTTGTGTGTGTGGTATGTGTGTGTGGT